CATACACCCCCTTTTTTTTTTTTTTTTTCATGTCAGTGCCTGATGCTTGTGGGATCCTGTAAGTCTGGGTACTAACCCTGTAAATTACAAGCACTTAAAAACAAAACAACAACAAAAAACTTGAGGACCTGTGATATTCTAGGACACTAATTTGTTCCCGAGTACATATTATAGGCAGAATTTTGACTTGGAGACACTAGATAATTTTATGTAAACCAAGATTAGGGGGAAAAAGTGGTGGGGGATGGAGAGGCTAGTAAGCGCTGAATAGTTGGGGAAGTTACACTTGAATTCAAGTGTTTAAACTATCACATAGTAAATAAGACAAAGTATGATGTCACTTGCACAGGCAAATATAATCAGGAGCCATACAACTCAGCTTATATGTAAAATAAATAAAAGAAAGGAATTCCTAGAACTGGAGGAGAAGTCTGTGTTAATCAGAAACCAAAATGAAGGAAAGACCTAATGAGGCATTTGGATCCTGAGATAAAATGTCAAATTATGTAGGAAATCAATCCTAATTTGTCTGACATGATCTCAAGCTAAATCACCAGATTTAAGCTAATCTGTGATCATTAAGTCTTTTTGTTTATACTTGAACCAATGGTAAGAGAAAAACCTATCAATGTAGGGAATATTTATTTCCGTCAAGTTCTTTTCAAAGTTAAAAGTAAAATCAAGACCTTTGAGGGAACTGATTTTCACTTTAGTAAAGGAAGGCTGTCACATGAATTCTACTTAAAATAGAATTTTACTTACCTTAAAAGAGGCCAAGTACTGCCTTGCTAACTGTAGACCCAGAATTTAGAACAGGTGCTCAGAAAATTTGTGGAAATAATACATATACAGAATCTTGACAGTTTTACTATGCTTTAGGGTAGACTGCCAGTGATAAAATTCAAGATGTTTAAATCTTCAGAGCACTTTTGATATTGTCAATGACTTTTCAAAGATGAGCTAACTACATGAGGTTCAGAAATTTGGCCAAAGGAAAAAAATCTGTTAATCAGATAACCTGTTGACTCTACAGCCATTTAACACATCCTTAATTTCCACTTAAATCCCTTATGAGTTCAGAAGTCTTGAATTTTATTTTTTTAGTACCAGGGATTGAACTCAGGGGCACGCGACCACTGAGCTACATCCCCAGCCCTATTTTGTATTTTATTTAGAGGTTGCTTAGCACCTCACTGTTGCTAAGGCTGGCTTTGAACTCACGATCCTCCTATCAGCCTCCTAAGCCACTTGGATTACAGGTGCACACCACCGCGCCTGGCAGATGTCTTGAATTTTTGTGGACTCTAAATAAATGTTTTGTGGACAGTAGGATATCTTCCTAAATGTTGGATTTAAGCTTCCATCACAAATGTGGTATTTTTTTTTTATTAGTTGTTGATGGACCTTTATTTATATGTGGTGCTGAGAACTGAACCCAGTGCCTCACACATGCTAGGCAAGTGCTCTACCACTGAGCCACAACCCCAACCCCAAATGTGGTTATTTTTATATTAATTTGTGATGGAAACTTAAATCCAACACTTAACATAATGAGGAGCTGAGGCTCAACAGCTAGGTGACTGCACCATTTCGTAAGTGGCTTGTCTAGCCCTTGCCAAACCTTCAAGATGCAGCAGCCCTGGCTGACAGCTCCTTTGCAAACCTGAAGAAATCCCAAGCCGAACTAGCCAGGTAAATCGCACCTAGATCCTTGGAAACTGTGGGAGACAGTGTTTATTATTTTAAGCTGCTTAATTTTATGTTATAAACAAGGCACACTGGGCAAAGATAGCCCATTGTTTCCTGAATGGAATAAGTAAAATTAAATTACCAGTCTTGACTGAAATATTAAGTATTATTAAGTTCATGCTGTTAAAAATAAAATTTTCAATTCATATTTGTTTGATATCAGGAAAAGAATCCAATTCCTAAATTCCCTAATTGATTCTTAAGTGCAAAACTATATTTAAAAAAGAAAAAAATCTGAATGTACATATCTATAGATATACACACTATTGATTATATTGCAGCCTAAGTGCCATGTATTTTTTAAAAATTAGATTCAAAACAGTAGCAGGCCAGCTCCTTGGATATTTTTTCTCCGATAGGATTAAACTATAGATATTTAAAGTGTTTCTAGTGAGTTCCAAAAGGTCTGAATTAGGATGCTTTGGTTACACCTGAGCTATTGTAATGAGTTTTAAATTAGACTTAAAAGAAATATGAAGTAAATAGTGTGGGCAACAGTATACAATGACTATATACAGTTGCCAACTGCAGAATTCAGCAAAATGCAGGGTATTCTTTGACACTTATGGACATCACAGATCACTACCAGAACATCACATAAGTTTATTTCAGATGTAACAGCAATGTTAAAATTGACAAGTTTAATTCTTAACTGCACCAAGTAAACTTAGCCATTAAAGTAATTTTAAAGTTTTCCCTCCAAAAACTGAGGGAGCTTTTCTTTTCCACCACCACACACCAGTTTCCTAATAATCTCTTTTTGAAAGATTTTCAATTGATGAGTAAACTTTGAAGATATTTCAGAACTCCTTTCCTCAAATGAAAACTAATCTGGACAAATTATACATTGCATAGATTTCTCTACAGATTCTTTTCTTTAGAACCTAAATGCAAATTCCATACAGTATAAATTTAACCTACTTGCCCCACTGTAAAAACTATCTGTCCTGAAAAATATGATGGATATATCCTGTGATCTTCCAGTTAACAGAATTACTGTTTTACCTCAAAGATTATTTTTTATCATATATCAAAATAATCAACTCAACATGGGGTATTACTTTAGTCTTTACTGACTCATAGGCATACAAACTAGTGCCCAACTTCTACTTCTTCCAAATCTTCTTCTTGTATAAGTGGATGGAATTATTTAACACAAGTTTGATGTAGGATAGTTAACCCTTTACAAACACTCAGAATTTAGGTTAAATCTTTTAACTAGTGTGGAAAAAGAAACTAAATGACAGAAAGCCTACAAACTCAATTCAAACTTTAATATTTTTCCCTCTTTAAATAACAAGTACTTAATTGTCGTGAGGCAGCTATTCGGTTTTTGATAACCACATATAGGGATACATTCATAGGACTGCTTAGAAAGTCCAGGTGAAATGGATATAGAAATAGAGGCAGTGTCATCTCAGAAAACTCAGTTATATATCAAAATCTATTTTGATATCTGGAAGTTTACAAAAAGGCTGAATTCTTCACACTAATTACACTTCCTGTAACTCAAGCACTCTTTTCTTGTCAAGAGCAGGCTGAATCTTATCCACAAAGGTAAAGGTGCTTAATGCTAAACTTTTCTTCTAAGCCTACATTTGGATTGTTTAAGGAATTGATAATGAAGAAAACAGTGTGGTCTTTCTACATTTTTACTAATTTAAGATCAGAACACTAAAAATTCATTCACCAGCCATCTTCCTTTCTTATATTTTTCTTGGCACTCAAGACTATGGAAGTCTATTTTACTTTGTACTCTCACACTTACAAATAAAAACTTAAGGATATAAAGTGTGTACATTCTATAAAATAATATTGTCATTTAATCTATTTGGAGATGAGACTTTTATACCAGAATTTTACATGAGGATTAATATTACGAATCAAACTTCCTTAAAGTCAAATGACAGAAAACTCAAGCCCTGTGCATTGTTTGTAAAGTCTAATGAGAGCATTTCTTGAACCATCACTACTGACAAACCAACAAATTCTAAATGTTGAAGATGAGGCAATGGGAGTAAAACACAAGTATTCCAGATGTCTCTCATAAAGTTATCAACCTGTTAAAGCCACTCTCTACGTGTCAGAAAATGTTCTGACAAAAACCAGTCTGTCAGTAGAGGAGGTCACAGTGATATCTGCATTATTTATGCTTCTATCTTTCTTAGAAGCAATTTGTTTAACAATTCCCCTTATCCCAAATCCTTAAACTCAATATTGTAGGCACAGAGTATAAGCAAATCTGGGATGTTCTCCAACAGATAAGCAATAACGTAGCTATGTTATTCTCAAAAATACTGTTTAGATATTTTTTCCTATACAATCAAATGTTCAGTGGCCACACTTTCAATTAACAACCTGCATTAGTTGACATTAAATGCATTTATTGTGCCACAGTCCATCTAGGCTTCCTTTTAGGTATTTTTTTTAAATATGTTTACGAGAAAATACCTGCTTTAGGTTGACTTAGGGATACTGACCTATAAGGACATCAACTCCACTTTTAAGGTTAGACTATTATTGGGTTTGCTGAAGGAAAAAGGTTGGGGGAAAAAAAAAGATCACAACAAAGCTCTTTAGGTCAGTTAAAGGCCATATCTCTAGCTGGGAGAATAAAAAAAGTTTTTTTCACCAGCTCATACTCTAAAAATTAATGACTCTAATATCAATAGCAAAGAAAAACAAATCTTCTAATAACCAGCTCACTCATTAGCAAAAAAGCAGTTTAACTCAAATGCTTTCAGACCAAAATATAACACAACCTACCCAAACTGCCTCATCCATCAGTCGGGGAAAAAATTGCTTTAAAAACCTAAATAAACTTGATATTTCTTACGAAGATAAAAATGGTCCAACTTCTGAGAAAGTGCTCAGAAGGACTAAAGGTGGAGTGAAGGCAATGTCTAGGGATTAACATCCCACAAATAGTTTTTAAGAACCTAGAGTACCACAAACACACTAAACTTGTCTATGAATTACAGAACAAGATATTGCTGCTGCTTCTTTTTATCTTTAGAAATAAACAATATCTGTAGGCTCTGCCCTTCAATGTGAAAGCAGGAAATAAGGAAAAAAATAAAATTGAAATCATCTGACACCCAAATTTTGGGACCATACATTTTAACTGTGAAACTAAACAGATCTACCTTCTCCTTCTTTCAAGACAACCACCGTACACACACACACCAAAAAAAAAAAAAAGAGAGAGAGAGAGAGAGAAAAAAAGAAAAACTAAAACAATCCAAACATGATTATTTTTAAAAGTCCTTGAAAGTATTAAAACTTCTAGAGGAAGAAAAGAAATGAGGAAAAAAAGGAACAAGTAGGGAGGAAAACTTAGGAAAGGCGGGGGACAGGGGCAGGGAATCAATGGGCCTCTCTTTTATTTGGCGACAAGCAAGTGCAAGAAAGTTCATTTGTAATTTGTTCAGTTGTCTGTTTTCTGCGCATCTGCATTCTGACCAGAAGGGACTTTGAGGTTTTTCTGAAGCACATGAGCATCTGCAGGCTCTATCCTCTTATAGTAGTTCTTCTTTGTCTCAATAATCTCAAAGCCAAACTTCCTGTAGAAGTCAATTGCTGACTCATTGCTGATCTGAACGTGCCTGAGATATAAAAGGTCATAAAGAAAGTAAATTAAAGTTTCATCAGCTTTTAAGTATTCTCCACACAGAGCTTCAACTTTGAATTAGAATGTTATTTTTTTTGTACATTTTCTTTACAATCACAATCAACTAATACTATCAATTACCACTAATTGATGATTTTTTATTTTTAACTGAATTATTCCATTCGAAAGACGTGGCTAGGAGAAGAAGGCTCAGTAAGAATATTTAGTCTTACAGTTAACAAAGGGAAAACTAGCCCTACTTTTGCCAGTAAGCGGGGGGAAAAAAAAGATTCCTGTAATTAAACATGGATTAAATAGCTGGGTGTGGTGGTACACAACTATAATCCCAGCTGTTCCAGAGGCTGACGCAGGAAGATCAGAAGTTCAAGTCGAATCTCAGCAACTTAATGAGACCCTCAGTAACTTAGTGACATGCTGTCTCAAAATAAATAAAAAAGAACTGGAGATGTAGCTCAGCGGTAAAGTGTTCCTGGTTTCAATCTCCAATACAAAAAAGAAACTAAAGGTGGGGTGAGGTTTAGATAACCGTAGGCAGGAATCAGAGGCCATACAGACAAAAGCAGAAAAATAATGATAAAAAACTTTAAAACTAGGGTCTCAAATCTGTTGTCTTCCTTTGAAATGAAAGACACATGTTGAATTGGGGGGGGGGGGGGGGATTAGGGCCTAGCTAAGTGCTGAGGTTGGTCTTGCAATCCTCCTGCCTTGGCTTCCCAAATTTTCTAGGATTACAGATGTGTGCCACTGCTCCCAGCAAAAACAACATCAACAACAAAAAAATAAGAAATTAGAGCTTCTCAATTACTCTTCAAAATAATACCATATTATTTAATATCTGCCATCACCAAACTGAATTACAATTACAAACATCCAGTAATAATCTTAGTCTTGTTCTTAATCTGCAGCCTTTTAAGAGTCAAATATAACCTCAGAGAATTACCTCTGATTTTGATTTTTTTAAATTGTAGTATAAATGGGCATATCACTGATAACCTTGAATGAATCGGAACAAACAGCAAGGCATGAAAAAAATAATATTAATAATATGAATGGTTTTAAATCTGAATGAATTTTAATCCTGACTTCATTTATATGACTTTGTAGTTCCCATCCCAATATAATGTAGCAATGTGTCTCAGATTCTTTATTTATTACTAAAACAAACCAAATAAACATTGTAACAAGTAGTCCAGTGCAGTGATACACTGCTAGCCTGTAATCCCAGCATTTTGGGAGGCTGAGGCAGGAGGATCACAAGTTCAAAGCCAATTTTAGCAATTTGACAAAGCCCTAAGCAGCTCAGCAAGATCCTATCTCAAAATAAAAAAAATAAAAAAAAAAAAAAAAAGGACTAGGGATGTGGCTCAGTGGTTAAGCACCCCGGGTTTCAACTCCTGGTACCAAATAAATAACAACAACAACAAAGCATTGTTACAACTATAGCAGGCCCCATCACATTCCCGGGTTCTGCTTCTACAGATTAACACATTAGGAAAGAAAATTGCATCTGAATGAACAGGTACACTGTATTTTCCCTTGTCATTCCCTAAACAATACAGTACAATTATAAATGTACACAGCACTTACATTATATTAAATATTATAAGTAATCTAATTGGATTTCATACAGGAGGATATCTGTAAGTCTTACGTAAATATGCTGCTATTTTATACAGAGGCTTGAATCACTCATATTTTGGTATCTATGAGGGGGACCAGGGGAGTGGGTCCTAGAAGCAATGTTATACAGGTACTGTGCAACAATCATTCCATGGTATTTTTTTAAGATACAGTAAGTGATCAGATTTTAAAATTTCTAGTAATGATTTTTATTGACATTTAAACTTTTGAGATAAGAACATTAAATATTATTTTACTTACAGATAGATGTTGTCAAAAGTGCCATCTTTTTCACAGATGTTTAGGACGTGATTTAGCATTTTAGTTCCTGTTAATAATACAAACAACAAATAAGTAACCTTAAAAGGCAACCTTTAAATTCTATACCTATTTGCCAACTGAACTACTTATTGGGACCTAATAAAATTTAAGAGGTAACATTAGACACTAAGAGATAAATATAGAGCAATTTTTTATACAAATATTTACAGATAGATATTTTTTTAAGTGGGGGGAAAATTAGACAAATCTATGGAGGGTTTTTCAATTGAATTATATTAGTAAACACTAGTTATTTTCACTTTATTTTATAAAAGAAATAAACTGACTTATTATATCAAAAAGATTTAACAAGGTACTTAGGCTTTGAAGGAAGGAGGGAAAGTGCGAGGGAGGAAGGAAGAAGGAAAGAAACAATGAATTACCTATTCCTAGCCTTCTGTAAGGTGCAAGACATCCTAGTGTCATGATGTAAAGTCTCTTCTGATTCTGTGAATGATCCACCCTGCAGCATACTGCACCTACAGCAATATCATTGAAATAGGCTGCCATAGAAAATATAAAGACATAAAGTTCAATAGACAAAACAACACATTTAATCATTTTTTCTAAGAGACTAAGTTGTTATTATAAGCATTAAATTTTAATTAGCTATCCTATGAAAATCAATGGCTTCAAAAACCTCTTACATTGTCTCAGAAGGCTGTAAAGCTAAATCATTGGTAACATACAGGCAAACACTAAGTAATAAAGAATATTTAGTGATTCCATTTAAAATTCAAATATTCTATATATTTTTTGAGAACCTGAAACACTCCATTAACCTCACTTGTAAAATAAAAAGTCTTCTTGCTCTAATAGTAACGGGTGAAGTTCAAAACTACAAATTTTAAAACAGAAATAAAGAAAAAAGCCATATCTTACCAAGTTTTGCTAGCTCGCCAACCTCCAGCACATCCTTGTAGAACTTGTCATTGTAGCTGACTGGAAAAATGACCTGGTTCAATCTCTTCAACTGTTTAATATTGTGTGGTGTTACATCTCCCAACTCGATCCGGCTACTGGAACAAACCAATATGTACTCAATAAAATATAATTAGCTTCTCATTTATAAAGATAACATATTAAATGGGTATCAAGTTTTTTTTCATGATCGACAAATCCAACATTTTCATAATGACTTCATATCCCTAAAACTATTACCATTTAAGCAAATATGGCCAGATATTCAATACCAATTTTGCTAGTAACTTTCATACAAGGGACAAATATAGTATGCAACTATTAAGAAAGCCAGAACAATATCTTACAATGAATAGGAAAGATTTCCCTGTAGTTTACTATTCAAAAAATTAGATACAACTATTGATCAAAAAGAATGACACCTAATATTAGCAAGAGAAGTAGCAAATGGTATTCTTAAACCTTGCAGATGGTAAATATACAGTATCTCTTGAGAAAAAATCTAGTACAATGTACTGAAATAAGTAATCCTACTTCTAACATTTATCCCAAGAAAATAACTTGTGTAATAATTATGTGCCTATTAATTGAGAATAGTGGCCCTCCTGGGGCCACCTACTTCAAAGTCACAGTGGTGGTACTCAAAATTCACGTTCTTGGACATCCCACCCCACCTTTCAGGACCAGAATCTCTGGAAACAGAATCTATATTTTGAAAAACACAAGTTTGAAAAAAAAATTTTTTTATTTTATTTATTTTTTTATTGGTTGTTCAAAACATTACAAAGCTCTTGACATATCATATTTCATACATTTGATTCAAGTGGGTTATGAACTCCCATTAAGTTTGAAAATTATCTATCAAGAATTGGGTCCATTTTTGCCCATCCCCGCCAGAGTTCTGTTTCTATTCTTCACACATGAATAAATCCTACTTCTGTCACTCTTGGGGGGAAAAAATTTCTACAAAAACTATGTAATCAAAAGAACTGATTCCATGGAAAAAGGGATTAAAACTAAAAAGTTTCATACAGTAACCAAGTTATTTTGCCTATAAAGCTGTTAGTTTCAGATTATAAAGGCATTCGAATCTAACAGCAATGAATTGCAAACAAGTATGCTTATTAATCATTTGTATCACATTTGGGGTGTGTTGGGCAAATGACTCAACAAGAATGTCTACATTTTACCATACTTAGAATAGTAAAATGGAAAAAGCAAAGATAAAAAAGTGTTTACTGATAATGAGACTGATTAAAGTAAAGCATGCTATATCCAAATTTCTGGCACAGAAATATGTTGTAATATAATTTTGTGGAGAAAAAAGTATATTCCACCTATATATTCAATACTCCAACTTTTGTTCATATCTACAGAAAAATATCTGAAAAGGATATTTTTAAATATATAGCACAAACTATAGGCAATTTTCTGGTCATACAAATAAATATGGTATTCTCCAAAGTATCTGACAACTGAATTGAATTCCCTGTGTAAGATTCATGTCTTCTTTAAGTAGGTTTCACCTCATTCATAATAACTTCTCCTCTTCATTGAAGCGTAGCTTGTTTTTTTCTTTTTTAAAACTGAAGTAAATTAGGGCTGGGGTTATGGCTCAGTGGTAGAGCGCTTGTCTAGCACATACAAGGCCCTAGGTTCAATCCTCAGCACCACATTAAAAAAAAAAAACTGAAATAAATTGCATCTTGTACCAAACCCTTTCTTAACTGAAATCCACTGGGCTTACTGCCTTGCTGTCTACCACTCTTATTTTAAATATTCTGCAGATACTGGTATCATGTAAAATATAGGATTCCATTAAATAAGGAGATCACATCTTACCTATACCATCTTCTCTTTTAACTTCCCATAGTGCCACAAATTGGGTACAGTAATTTATTTTACATACAATATAGCTTCTCTTGATTATATTCAGAGATATCACTTAAATTACTCCACTGCATTTTCTTAAAATAAAAGTCTTAGCCTCTGTATTTTAAAAGTGACTGAAAAATACATTAAGTTTAAATTTAAACAATAATGAGTAACTAAAGAACTTAGGAACTCAAGCTTCTAAATGATAAGTGAAAAGACTATAGTTTTTAAAATTTGAAGAATGACCTCTTGGCAGTTACCAGGCTTCAAGTATATTTATAATTTTCTGAAGGATAATAAGTACTAAAAAAAAAATTTTTTTTTCATTAGGCTTGACAGATCAAGCCTATATTGAAGAAACAAAACTGAATCATTACAGTATAGCAGCTTAATCTTTCCTTGCTTAATTTTTTACAAGTCTTTTTTTTTTTTTTTTAGGTGCATAATCATAGAAATGACTTAGGAAGTGAAACTATTCTGAGGAACAAGACCAGAAATAGTTTGACATAGTCTCTCAGTATTTTTCTATATGCAAACATGTACTGTTTGGTAGCTGTCTGAAAAATTAATTAGATTCTTACTAGATGGTCAGAATATACTAGAAACAATTTCAAAGTGGTGACTAAAGGTACAACTGTCAGCAAAATTTAGCTTCAAATATAGTTTATTTTCATTAACATGATATGTCTAATTGAAATGGAATACTTCTGTAATCCTGATCACTTAGCTCCAAAATTATTTTAAGATGTGGATATTCTAAATATATCAGTAATATAATATCAACCTATAATTTAGCAAAGAACATGTGCAGTATTAAAGGCATAGGATAATTTCAACATAAGGGATATGTAGAAATGTCAAGAAAATGAGAATATCCCATGACTATAACAACCAAAAAGTAGAAGAGCTCCCAAAGTTTTTTGAAGTCCCAAATCTCTATTAGAAAATTAATATAAAAACACAGTTTCTAAGAACTCAGTGAATTTAAACTTTTCTTGAGTTCTTATTGTGGGAAGAGGTAAGATGTACAGTCTAAGGAGAAGGTAAAACATTAACAAAATAGTAATGGTGTATTTCCAAAATTGTAACCTGTTCGGTAAGGCTAAAATATAAATTACTCCATGGGTACATTAAGAAAGCTGATGTTGAAACAATTCTACAAGGGCCCTGCACATATTTTCTTGGTGATTTTATTCATTCCTATGACTTTAATGCTGCCTACTTCCAAATTTGTATGTAGCCTAAACTTCATTCAGAATTCCAAAATCTGATTCAAAACAACTCTAGTAACACTCCCCCCAAGTACATATACTGGAAACTAAATATACAGACCCTTCCCCCAAAATGTCTAACCTGCAGTTTTCCCCATTTTTGTTGGTGGCCTCTTCATCCTTGGCTGTGTACTGCCCTTGCCTTCTTTTAGTCTTTGTCCAAATGACATCTCAAGAAAGCTTACTTCAACACAAATGGTTTTCTTATAATCTTGACAGGCTTTCTTTGTTTTAAATAAAGATTTATATATATATATATTTGTTAAATATATTTATTAATATACATTATATAAAATATATTTATTAAATTATATTTAGTTGAAGTTGGACACAATATCTTTATTTTATTTATTTATTTTTTATGTGGTGCTGAGGATTGAACCCAAGGCCTTGCATGTGCTAGGTGAGAGCTCTACCGCCAAGTCACAACCCCCGTCCTTGACAGGCTTTCTTATCAGGATTAAGTTGGCTTCAAAGTTTGGAAGTGTTCCTTCTTTTTTAGCTTTGCTCATATTTGCTTCAGGTATTTTCAGGTTGTTAATAGGAATGTTAAGTACTCAGGACTGTTATAAACTGTTGATAACTTGACCTCTGTATAATTCTGAAACATCCTTCATTTTCACTGATGATACTTCTCATTTTAAAGTCTGCTTTATTTATCACAGACACAGCTTTCACCTAATCAATGATGCATGGTGTATCTTTTAGCAATTAAAAAAATTTTTTTTAAAACTTCCCCAAATCCTTAAAGTGCCATGTAAGCAGCAGCATTTACATAGTTCAAGACCAATCTGTACTACACATTGGGACTCTATCTATTAATAAATTTAAAAAGTAAAAATAAAAAATAAAATTTCTTGTAAACAATACACACTCAAGTCCTACTCCTTTCATCTGACAATTAGAGTTATCTAGTCCAGTCAAACTCTCAATGCAATAATTAATTCAATCAATCCAAGTCCACCAGCTGGCAATTTTTTGTACCAACTATTAGTCGTTTTTTATTTTCCACTTTTTTTGGCATAGGGGAATCAATTTTCTCTTGGCTTTTTTTAAACTTTAAATTCACTCTTTAGAGTGTATAGCTCTGAGTTTTGACAAATATGTAAAATCATGTAACCACTATTATACACATACATATAATCATGTAGTGAAATATGTAATAGTTCTACCACCCTAAGAACCTCCTACATATAACCATACCACTCCCAGGCAACCACTAATCTGTTCTTTATAATTTTGCCTTCGAGAATGTGACAAAAATTGAATCACAAAATACACAGTGCTTGTTTAGCTTTTCATTCAGCATAATTCCTGATACAACAGTGTATTCCATCCTTGTCAATGTTGAGTAGTATTTCATTTTATAGACAGATGTATCATACTTTGTCACTGCTATGCTACAGATTGGACCCAGGGCCCCTCACATACACAGAACTACACTCCTAGCTTTATCCTCTAGTTGAAGAGCATTATGAGTTGTTTATAAGTTTTGAAGATTATAAAGTTCCATTAACATTTGCATATAGGTTTTTCGTGAATGTGTTTTCATTTCTTTTAATAAATACCAAGGAGTGGGAATGCTAAATTATGGGTAAGTACATGAGAATTCCAGTTGTTCTATATTCTCACCAACACTGGGCATTGTCAACTTTAAACTTTATGCTGTTCTAATTAGTGGGTTAAGACATCTCATTGTGGTTTTTATTTATGTCCCTATATAACAAATGATATTGAATATCTTCTCGTGTACTTACTTTTTACCATGTTTTCCTTGGTTAAGTTTATGTTCAAATCTTCTGCCCATTTTTTAAAAAACTTAGTTTTTGTAAGCATCTTGTCCTCTATAAGTTATAGCTACATACATATTCTCTATGAGTCATTTCGCAAAAAATTTTTTCATTCTGTGGCTTTTTTCATTTTCCTGTTTTTTTTTTAATTATTTTTTAGTT